ACTATTAGTATCGTTGTTCAAGGTTAGCCTTTTAATCCTTAATTTTTTCCTTGATTCTACAAATAAAAAATAACTAATTTAAATTCATATATATATATATATATATATATATATAATATATATATATATATATATATATATATATATATATATATATATATATATATATATGTATATATACAGTGTTCAACCTCAACAATTATTTCCTAATAAAAAGAAATAATTATTAATTAAAAAATGATTTACACAGCTTATACAAAAGAAACTTTTTAAACAATAAATATTAGTTAACCAATGAGAAATGATATACATAGGTTAAATAAAAGACATTAAGCACAAATTTAATTTTACTTTTATTATTTATATATATCAATAATAAAAGTAATAATACTTTACTCAATTCTGTTACTTTTTATTTAAATAAATATTCTAACCTATACATGATAACCCAGTCAACATTGACATACGGGTACAGTACGGGGTCCATAAGAGTCGTCAACTGGATCCCGTATGGAAAGACCAACGGTATCCCGCCGAATCATGGCCGCGGTTTCCATACGGGTCCCATTTGGATGAGCCTGCCGGGTATCCCGTATGGGTCCCAGTCAAATCCCGTACTTTAAAACCGTAAGAGGTCCATTTCGGTTTGCAAATGGGACCAATATGAGAAACCCATCGGGAACCCACCGGATCTTGGCCTCGGGAACCCACCTTGGTTGTCCTCTGGGATACGCCCGCCGGGTATCCCGTGAGGTTCCAACGAGGTTTACCCAATGCAAATTTTGAAAAACTACATTTAAATGTTTAAAGTTTACAGAAAAAGCAAATTTATACATAAATTGATTGGTTTATAAAAAAAAAAAATAGTAATTAAAATTACACTGTCGAAACACAGCAAATTTTTAAACGATTCTTTCATCATGTATCGAATGCTTTTACGTTTATCTTCGGAATTGAAAGCTTTTCAGTTGTTTTAAAACGACTTCTTTAAAAACCTCTTTATCAATATCTCGTTTCAATATGAGCTGTAAAGAATTAAATTTAATTGTAACTTTTAAATTTTATAGATTTCACATACATTTTTTTTTTTTTTTTTTTTTTGTTCTTTTTATTTATTCAAAATAAGTTTTACAATATAAGAGTGAATAAAATACGTATTGTCAGAATTACAATTTTGTTAACGTTACAACAAGAACGCGGATACTCGCAGAAGATCATAAGATCTTGTCATCGAGAACCGCCTAAACAGTTTTTAAATAATAAATAATCCTTTAATAATTCATAGACAAATATTCACACATAAATACAAATATAATTATTTATACCTATTTAAACATACAAACATGTAAATAAATATACTTACACATCAATATATATATATATATATATACATACATATAATACGCACAAATACACATACATATATACGTACATACATAAATATACATACACACATACATATATATATATATATATACATATATCCATATATACATATATACATATATACATATATATATACATACATACATATACACATATATACATAAACATATACACACACACACATATACATATACATAAATATATATATATATATATATAAGTTAAGATAAAAGATTTCGTATATATAAATTACAATAAAATATTTCTTAAGAGTATTAATAAAAAACAAAACAAACTTAAAAATATATCAGAATGTTTTCAACTGAGAAAAGAATTTCTTTTAATTTTCTTTTAAATAAGAAAAAGTTCCATTCAAGAGAGAGATCAAAAAGTTTTAACACTATTTTGTTCCATAAAAATGCTCCTCTAAATGAAATACAAAATTTACCAAAATTAGTTTTGAAAACTGGTTGAAGAATAAAATTTTCATTACGCAAATTGTATTTATTTTTAACTTTTAAAGAGTATAAATTGTGAAAAGAAGTTGGAGATGTGCGAGACTTACATTTAAACATAAAACACAATACATTAAAAATATTAAGTTGATATATATTAAGAATATTCATTTCGTTTAAAAGAGGTTTAGCATGATAAAATCGATGTTTAAAATTAATAAGTCGTGCAACATGTTTCTGTTGGCGATAAAGTGGTTCTAATTTAGTTTTCCTTACACTACCCCAAGCCGCATTAGCATAGTTTAGATGGCAATGAATAAAAGAGCGGTAAAGCTGAATTAAAGTATGTTTATTTAGCATGGTTCTTATTTTAAATATTTTTAATATGTTATAAAACTCTTACGATTTCTCCCAACACTCTTCAGATAAAAAATGTAATTTCACCATCGAAGGTAGAAAAACATAACCTTTAATTTTATAATCGACGTTTATTTTAACGTTTTAAAATGTACTTGTAATAGATAAGCACATGCTTATGATTCATTAAATAAATTGATAACATTCCTTTAGTTACTGATAAATAAATTATATAAAGTTATTAAATTAATTTATATTCTATATAATTTGATATATATTGTATATACCTTATATACAGTGCCGTGGCTACAAGATACAAGCCCCTTTCAAAAAAAACAACCTGTCATAAGGGCCCCAAAATTCTTAAAAACTTTTGCAAAAAAATAAAAAAAATCTAAATAAAAGTTCTAAATAAAAAAAATCCTTTCATTTGACAAAAGGCCCTAAATTTGCAAATGAGCCCCTAGACAAAGCTCTGCTTATATATATATATATATATATATATATATATATATATATATATATATATATATATATATATATATATATATATATATATATATATATATATATATATATATATATATATATATATATATATATATATATATATATATATATATATATATATATATATATATATATATATATATATATAAACACACACACACACACATATACAACGACTAAAAAGATGCAAATTCCTCAAACATAACTTCTTTGTGATAAGAATTGTCTTCTTTTAAAAACCTTTTTTACCTTTAAATTTAACTGTATTATTTTCTATATGTGCTAATGAATGGACAATGTAAACTAGTTGATTATTACAATTAAATTCACCAATAAAACTGCACAAAATAAGAAGCTGACCAGCAAAATTACCATATTTTTTCAACAAAATAAAACATTATGAAATTAGAACTGCAACTGAAAAATCTTAAAAGTTTGAATAGATTTTTGGCTAAACCGTTCCCTTTAAAGAACTGGCCCAGTGTATACTAGAAATAGTCTAAGTTCAGTTGCTTTCTATTTTTAATACCTAACTATGACCTTGATTTTCTAGAAAAGTTTCTTAGAATGTAACGACGTATCTGGAACAATCCGCTAGATAAAATATTGACTGTAATCTGAGACAATTTACAAAGTTTGGGCAACTTAACCATAAGTTAATGAGTCTTCACATACCCCTAAGCATACTAGATGTATAAAGTCTAAAGAAAACTTTGTCACCATGTCAAAATTTAATTCAATTTAACACATCACTAAGATATTCAGAATGCTTTGGATGACAAAAAATCTTAAAATTAGTAAAATATGTGGAAGATTTATCTTGCCATATCACTCTCCTTTCTAAACACAATGCTCACATCAGTTATAACCATTGTGTTCCTTAATACACTTAACAAATGCTCTAGCTGGTGCATGACATATGATTACAGCAAAATTGATTTTGTACTCAATATTTTCATAGATAAAG